GCAGTCACAGATCACATACGAAATAAAGTTTTGTCCCTCCCAGCTGTGTAGTGTAAACTCCCTGAGACAAGCTCGTTCTGAGACAACCCAGAAATAGGACAAAAAACACAAAATTTTGGGGTCACTTGCCTTTTATTTCTTTTCAAAATAGATTCTTAAGCCAATTGAAATGGCGTTGAAAAACCTATTGCACAGTTCCTTGGAACATTGTGATATTCACCTCACTGAAACTTTTCACGTTTACACCGAGAACAGAAAAAAAATTATAATAGTATTTTTTTCTAGGCGAAGGCCAGATAATAAAAATGTAAAACACAAAACGTGAAACACGATTAATGTAATTACATTACACCCGGCACGTTTTATGTATAATTTCCCCGTATAACAGGGCTTTAACTCTTGGAAACAAACTGTTTTACAATTTTGTCTTGTCCCTTGAGTTTTAAGAAATATATATATCTATACTTTCAATGCTAGACTGTTTATATTCGTACTAATGTATTCATTTTAGCTATTTTAGTGTCCAGCGAGCTCGAACAATCTAAATAATATAATGAAAAAATAAACTTCTCACATCTCTATATTAAGAGTAAAGAGTTTCTTTTTAGTCATAATCCTTGGTTGTTACGATTAAACCTTTCCTGCTTTACGTGTCAATGAAATTAATTCTTAGAAGGATAACAATTAATGCTATTTACAATAAAGTTGATTATCTAAGGCGTGGCTTCTAGCACAATCTATGTCAGTTTGATAATTGCTGTAATATCAATATATTTCAAAACGACTAAGAGCTAGGTTTGCAACTTGCGTCCTGCTAAACTTTTGATAGGCTTACGCGTATTAAATTATAAGCATACTTCGCAAATTCAAACCTAGCAAATTTCATTAAAAATGAGCCAAATGCGCTTTACAAAATATCGTTGAAAGCTAAAGCCTAAAAAAATCTAAAAAACTAAAAAACTGTTCTACAAAAAACTATTGTTGACGATATCTGACGCTGATATAAGGAATAAAAATATTTAATCTCTGCTGTAAAGTTCTTTACGAACCAATAGGAAATCTGAGGAGCTGAGCGCAAGTAAAATGTCGATTACACACGAATAAGTTTCCTTCGAAGAGTTTCCACGTAACAAGTGTTATTTGCTAGTATGTTTGACCTGTAGTATATGGCAAGTTTTTTCTTCAGCGGCAACCATCCTCCGATCAAAAACCTGGTTGAGCCAGTTTTTGAAATCGAAGTAATACCCCATTCCGCAACACCAACTAAACTAATTTAACAAAATAAGGTTTAGGTTGTTCCAATTTGTCGATCACGTTTTGTAGTCATTTTGAGAAGACAAATTTCAAGCCACCTCGCTACCATATTTTAATCAAACAGGTTTTTACCTATTTAAGTTGTGGAGTCACGTGCTCGGTATGAGCAACTAATTTTTAACCTTGTTTAGCTAAACCACTTTTAAACATGTTTAACATCTTGGTGTGCTGTGAACTGAGTATAAAATGTTATCGATGTTTTCTGGATATTCCGCTGTGTATAGAGTATTGCAGCTTCAGAATTAAAATAGTCAGAGAAGTTTTTTTAGTGCTGAAACTTGTGAAAGAAAACTTAATAACGGAAACTTGCTGTTCTTTCACGCAGTCGATCAGTAAGCTTTGCAAAATACATTTATGAATATTCGTGTGTAATTCGAGGCTACGAAATGAGAGGAGAACGTTTCTGTGTGGAAACATTTTATGAGGTGCTTGTCATGAAAATACAAGCGTTTACTTTTGCTGCGCACGCTTCAAGGTCATTCCAAGACCGCTGACCAAGCGTCACACTAGGATCAAGCGAATTAGTAGTTATTTGTAATCAAACAATGGTCTCCTGTTCGATCATTTCTAGTATACATTGTGTACTACACACGTCTCCAAGTCTGCTAAGAGCCAGACAGGATATCGAACGCCTCAGAGCAAAGTTACTTGTGTCGTAAAGAGAGTTTCTCTGTCCTCCCTCGGCCCAATATGGGGTGTCCTCGAACTCTTGTTCATTGTCATCTTTCTGGCAGAGAACTTCACGGATTTCTTTAGTTTCCACTTTACTGTTCGTCATGAAGAATGGAATCAGTGACAGAGTACACGTTCCCATGGCAATGGCTCCGCCTGCCACAAAGAATGCGTTCTCATATGAACCCGACAGTTGGAAAATAAAACCTGAAAGAACGAAACACAAGATTATTAAACAACTTCCTCGAAAAAGGTTTCGTGTATTTGTCGACCGTGTGGAATGCGATACAGACAACCATTTACTACCGACTTCAGCTCTTAGAAGAGGCCCAACAAATTAGTAACTTCTCTTAGTTCCTCGGGGTACCTTCGTTCCCCCAATTTCAGTTTGTTTTAATTAACTGATGTGCGGTCACAAGGGGTTTACATGAAAGAAAATAGTTTCGACCCGACTTTGAGAGCGATCAGCATTCATTCTCTCCTAAACAAGATGTTAGTCTGCCCGAGCAACAGGATATGGGTTCCGCAGTTGAAGACGGCAGACATTTAAATATCACTGTGTTTAGGGGCTGATCACAAATTAAAGAGAGTTATCTTATCACCGGGCCAAATTATCACAGGTAGCAATCTAAAAGTTAAATGGGGTCGTTTGGCGAGTTATCTTAACTCCGAAAAACTGATGTCACATCAAACGTCCTTCCCCCTGCCCGTGGAAGGACTATGCCACTGCACGTGATATCAAGTCCACAACATGAACTGCTGACATTAAAACAAAAAAGGTTACCGTACACATACCTGTCAACGGTGGCCCAAACGTCATCGGGAAAGCCAGCACTCCATATAAGCCTCCTAAAGCTGCCGGAAGCTTTTCAGGTCCAACAATATCACTTGTAGTGATAGCAAGCAGCAACACAAAACAGCCGTCGAACAATCCAAAGAAAACGGCATACAGAACAAGACCAGTGTAGTTCTGTGCGACTGGACATAACGTGCAGGTCACTGCCATCATTAAGAAAGAGGTCTAAAATACAAGAACCAATAAGAAGTTTAGCGTCCAGCATTAAAATGTTCTCCTTGCAGGTTGTCAAGTTATTTTTCCAATGTGGACGCAACACTGAGATAAACATTTATACAAGGTCGTCAAGTGCCGACTTCAGCTTTTAATTTGACGTGCAAACCATTTTTGCTAGCCCTCATCGTCAAAAGAACTAATTGAGGCAAAAGAACCCAGTGGAAAACACGAAGCTTTGAATCAAGATTATTGAAGCTGGAACATGTTAAATTGTTTTTCGTTTGGCCGTAGTTATTTCTTAATTAATTAACAATTCGATTATGAGCTCAAGATTTCTGTGAAATTATTATTATTATTATTATTATTATTATTATCATTATTATCATTATTATCATTATTATCATTATTATCATTGTCATTGTCGTTGTCATTGTTATTGTTATTATTATTATCTTTCATTAACACAAAATGACGCACTTTTTGAATGCAATGCTAACACAGGTTTTGTTGTTGGACTGTCTCTAATGTATTGTCATTAGTGAAGTCACATACCTGTAAAAAGTAGAAGCGATTAATCCTTGGATGATCAAGGACAAGACCAAACACAACCCGAGATACAGTGGAAGCAATAGATAGATAGCCGAGTAGGAGAGAGGACTGGTATCCAGGCACGCCAAGATTTATTGCGTTGTTATACTAAAAGAAAGATGACGGAGTACACTGATGTTACGCTTCAATCGATCGTTGAGTTTCAATTTTTTATTTTGCAAAATTGTTTCTTTGCTTAGTTAAATTGTTAGCTGAAATTATATATCTGCGGTTTGTTCTTCGCAGCGTATTGCTTTGTACATGCGCTTATTTTAAATTCTAATCTGTTCGAGGCGAGAACAAAATAAAAACCGCGCGCGGGTTTTTCTTCGTCCGCTCCGAGGTCGCGCTTGCTCCCTCACTCGTTCTGGTGGATTCTCTTCGCCGGCTTTTTACTTAAAAAAAGAGCTGACGACTGTGGATAGACCATTTAGTACTGAATCCGCAGTAAGGATGCTCTCTTTAACAAGGGGGTAGCTAGGGGGGTCCTGGGGTGCCCGTAACCCCCCTTTTGTAAGCCTTTTTTTAATCAAACAACGTAAGACAGGTGGTGAAAACGCCATGACGATCTGGTGAGTACCCTCACTTTGACACAGTGTGACACCCCCTTTTGAAAAATCCTGCCTACGCCCCTGTTTAAATTAGCCTTACTATGATGAAGTCATCACCCGGATAGCTAAGGGTGGTAGAGATCAGATGTCAGTTTGTTTGTGTATTCGGTCTACAACAAACTATGTTTACTTACCAGGTGAGTAAAAGGTACAAAATATCCAATAAACATCAGCGACGTAGCAACAACCCAGACCACAAATGGTTTCATCTTCCACACGGACAAGTCGGCGAAGAATTTCGATTCGTTCTTTGGTTCCTTTTTAGCGTGTTTTTTATACTTGTCAGGAAGGGGACGGTACAAGAGTGCGCTAAGAAGCACGACAAATGCAAGACCACTGAGGATTCGAAGCATGACTCTCCAGCCAAGATTGGACAGGATGAATTGATAAAAGGGGCCCAGTGCTAACGTACCGATGCCACCCCCAGCGACAACTATACTGTTAGCTAAAGTAAGGCGCTTTCTGAAATACTGACCTGCAGAAGAATTGGAAATCACAATGAGGTATAAACAGGTCGAGAAGAAACTTAGATGAAATACAACCGTGCCTCTACTAAAAACTGTGAAACTGTGGCTGTTGGGACATAAAGCAGCTTTCACTGATGTACGATAACAGAGTGCTCCAGTCTTCTCTTGTGAAATAGGTTTGCTTAAAGGACTTAATTAGTCATGGCGCTGTTTTGAGATATTTTTGGCCGCGTTCAAAATTACCTTTAAGTTGCAGAAAACCTTAAAATAGTAGTTTACTAAGATAGAAAAACACCAAAGAGATAATAACAAGCCATATGGGATCGAGAGTGGCTAAGGATGGAAAAGATTATCACGGATTACAAACGACGAACTTACAAAAATTAAGATTTAAATTGTGGAAACCATGAGGTACGTAGCTCCTGGAGAAACAACCCAGATTTTCTGCCCCAGGATTTGTAGAAAATAATAGAATTTATGGTTCATAGCCTCTGCTACTTTGCTGTTAAGCTTTTCAGTCTTAACTTACCTAATACCATCGTGGCTGGAGCAAAGTTAAGACTAGATCCAAACCCCCAAACGATACTGTATGTTACGTATATGACGTAGAGATTGTCGGTGAATGACGTCAGCAAGAGACCGACCACTGAAATGAGACCACCGGCTGCTGTCACCACGCGAAAACCGTATTTTTCACATAAACCGCCGGTAAATGGACCGCAGAGGAACATCACGCCAAATGCTATGGAACCAACCCATGCTAAAACGAAACAAGTTAAATGTTAGTAACAATACTTATAGATCCAGTCTTGTTTCAAATCTCATTTCATTCTGTCAACTAGCTACGAAAGGGTTTAATATATATATTGTTTAATAGATATATTGCAGTTTTTCCAGTCTGCCCGAATAAAAGCAACATAGCAACGTTAAAGACATGCAGTAAAAAAACAACAACAACAACAACAACAACAAAACAAACAAAAAAACACGCGTGACTCAACTAGAGAACTTCCCAAAGTTCAACTGATAGCACTGAACCACCAGAGACATGTAAAACCAAACTAAATTTAAACCGGTCAAATAACACAAACAAATGGCGTTTTTTTCTCGATAAAGGGTATCGAAACAAACGCCTTTTTAACACCATCTTTCGTGAGATAGATGATCAAGTTTCATTAGCCTTTCTAACAAAATCAACAATTGTGGCCAGCTTAATGGTGTATGAACAAACTAGAAGGAAAATAAAAGACAAAAACGTTCTGGAAGAAACAAAATCAAAACAAGCCCCGCATGAACTAAAATGGTTTTGAACTTGCCTGTAACCAGAAAGAATTTCCGTCGAATTTACATCAAGTACTAAAAGGATTAATCTAAGAAACTTGCAGCTTTAATAAAAAGGTGGCGTATTATATGTTACCTGTTTCTGACGGTCCAGTGTTCAGATCTTTCATTAAGTAGGTGTACAAGATTGAACAGTTGTTATGGATGCCCAAGATGATGAACTGAATGACTGAAGCGGCCACGCAAATTATCCAACCGTACCCGCCATCGGGGCATTCTTTTTCCACGCGAACTGTCGTGGCATCATCGTCCGGTCTTTCTTCGTCCTTCACGAGCTTGCTCTTCAGCTTATCCAACATTTTGTTAATTTGTAAGGTTTTGCTTGACAGCTTAAGGACTTGGATGCACGTTTAGCGGCGTAAGGCAGGCTGGTCGCTTAATATTTCACTGGCAAACACAAGGCTAGAAGAGGAAGCGAATGTACTCAGGTAACGGACAAGCAGTTGAAAGAAAGGATTGACTTCATGGATAACATTTTGATTGGATTGAATTGCAAGAATTTTGATATCATGATTATTGCTTTCAATAGTTATTATCTATTTATAGTGCAGTATATTATAAAGCAACACAGGGTACGCATTTGCCATATACGACCAGAATGGGGGCTTAGAATGGGCGGCACTAATTAGCGCAATCGTACTGGCTCGGAAAAAACAAAACAACGCGCGCTGTTAACTTTAGATAACTAATAAACCATTCAGACAAGCTATTCGCTTTTAGCGACGATCCAGTTATTAAATTATCAATATGCAGTGCCTTGGGGCAAATTATTTGATCTTTTAGTTGACCCGTTCATGCCTGTACTTTCTGCACAACTTGCTCCGAGTCATCTGATGTAACGCGAGCAAACGGGTTCGTCTAATCAGAAATCTAGAGTAACCTGCGAGCATGCGCCGGGAGGCCGATGGTCAAGCGGAACACGTACACATGGAGCTTTGTTTCTTCTTATCGTACTTCAATATACAGGCAGTTCATTAACAGAATTGTTCATTCAAGGTGAAAACAAAAGCACCAATAGACCCTTTTAGCATTGGCGGTTTGTTAATGCTCCATTTCAGACCATGTGATGACACTCTTGAGAATTCGTTCTATCAAATCATTAAATAGTCTCGTATATATGAATGAATAGTTTTTAGATGAATAAAAGAATAATTCTCTAAAAAATATCACGCGGTCTGAGATGGGAAAACAAACCGGCCAAACTAAAAAGGTTTATTTCTTCAAGATCCAATTAAAACAAGAATCTACACCGATGCACTGAAGACACCCTCTAATTCAATGAAGCTAGATACGCGGAAAATGGCATTTCCGAGCGCCTGAGAATAAAACTTTCTTTAGGTGGGAGGGGGGCGGATGCCCCTATCCTCCCCTAGCTTCGCGCGTTCTCGGCGCTGGATGATCAACCTTCGGTCGGGGCGTACTCCATAGGAAATGCACGCTCCGCTCCTGTGAGTGTTGTATCGTCAATTTTCTTGGACGACATCCAACGTATCTGGTTATTAACAGGATCCGACGACTGATAATTAACATGCTTGTCTGGTATTATGACAGCGGCAGACATATCGCAACTGGATACGGGTTTTCTATCATTTTTTTGACAATTAGAAATCGAAAACGAAACTGACCGATTTTATCGAAAAGCTTGTAAGAACTGTAGGAATGAAGACTTTTGTTTCACATTGTAGATCCGCCGTTTGACGCCGAGTTTGATTAACTAAGCTTGGAGTTGATAAGTGTGAATATAAATACTATACTTATTCATTACATAGTGCATAAACAGTACCAGGCAACTGTTTCTTGTTGTTTTTCTTTGACGAAGGGCTAGAGTGCTTGACCGAAACATCATTTCCAATGCGGCGGTTAATTCACCAGTTCTATGAACTTCACAGAGAACGTGAACGAAATATAATGAAATCTCAACTCAAGAAATGACGGGATATTGAATCTCAGCTTATCTCCTCAGCTGTAATCGAGCTATATGTTGTCCAAGGTTATGATATACCGGGGGGGGGTACTCCCAGAAAAATTTGGTGGGAGTAACCTCCCCCCCCCGGGTGATATACTACTGCTACTATTACATAATCAGCATGTTTGGGCAAACATCTTTCACAAAATCGAGGTTCGCTGAGATCGAAGAGACTGTAACAATTGACAGCTTATGTAGTGATTATTAGTCGTGGCCAATTTGACTTTTGAGAGGGTGTGTGCGGGTGATTGGTTATAGGCACGAATTTTTTTAACGTTTTCATGCAGTAAGAAATTTTCTTTTTGAGACGTGTATGTGCATGATATTTTTTTCTCCGTGTAATGTTTCTTTTTTTGGCTCACGTGCGTGAATATGTTTTTTTCGGTAGTGGTCGTGTGCATGTGGTACAAGTATGTTCTCAGGATATATCTTTTTCATAATCACCCTCCCCTCCCTCAAAAATCAAATGGTCCACCCCTTATAACTGAATGCTATGTCCTCAGAGGCACAAAATTCTGTTGTTATCCCTTTGAAGCTCCATGGAATACATTAAAAGAAACTGTCCGTGGTTTTACAATGGAAAATTCTGGATAATTTTCTGGTGAGCTTTGCGCATCGACCTTGACTATTTCAAATTATACAGAAGGATAAAGAAATAGAGGATTTATTAGATTTAAAATAAATACAGAGAAATAACGATATAGAATTTCAATTTTCGGATAATCACTCGTGGATTAACCTCTTTCTGAAGTGCTCAAGTTTTGGGAGCTATTAGTCGAACGAGAAAACAGAGAAGCAAAACCTATCAATAATGAAGTTCAACCTTAAAGGTTGAATAGCTTATGGGTCTTTCAATGATCGTAATGTATTAAAGACGATCTTCGCGCCTGGTGCAGCGATAGGAGTACAAAAACAACTTTGTGGGAATGCCGAACATGGTAAATCTTCGTTCAATTGACAAGAAAGTAAAACAAGGGCTGAATTGAAATAAAATTTAAGACGTTACTTACCTGATGTATGTTAGCTGTCCGAGAATGCTTTGTTATCCACGGGAACTGACTAGAAAAAAAAGAATCGAAGCTTCAATATGTCTTCAAACACAAGGCTCCGCTCTTGTAAAAGCAATGTTTACCCAAATTTTACGCAAACACTTACTGGAGAAATTGTTATTACTCAGTATTTAACTCTAATATAAACAATACCCAATGCTTTGCATTGGTCAATATTTATGGAGCACGGAGCCTCATGTCATGTCACGAGAATTTTCATAAAAAATGACCGACACGCGCTTAAGACAACTGAGCTTCACGTGGGAATCAAACCATTTTATGGAATGAGTGTACATGCAATTAGTTAATTGATTAGCTGTAGAAGCCACTGAAACAGGCAAGCATAATCCTGGGCCGCGAAGTCGAAGAGTCACTAACGCGAAAGATACCTCGAGATTTAACAAGCAGGTCTGGACTCTTAGATCTCAACTCAGACTGTTCACTAATTCAAAATGGAGGTTGATCCTTCCTTTTTTTGGCAGACATATGGTATTTTACGTCTTTTTTAAACCGTAATGATACAGAAAATTCACACTTAGCCAAAGAAATGCTTAAGGTACCCCAATGAAAGATTTACTACCTTTCTTCTTGATCCGTACATTGAACCCGGTTAATATCTCTACAGTGTGTACAACGCCAGGCAATACGAACGAGCACTAGATAAATCAGTTATGTAAAATTCACCAACTCGTTGGACTGTTTTGTTCATCAAGATATGACTCATTATAAAAGTGTTCAGTTTCATTAATCTGGATGGCAGATGGTTTTTATTATTGTTTTGAAAAACATTTGACAAATTACTACGAAGTATTTAGAAATCTTAACTCTATTCCTCAAATTACGCGCAAGAAGAGCGCAATTTGGCTTGAAAATATGCTCAGATACTTATAGCATCCTCGGATAATGTGAGACTCGAAGAACAGGTAATGTCCAAGGACAAATATCCAAGCATATTTTTTAAGTCAAATGGAGGCTGTTGTGTTTATTATCCTTCAAATATTTTTCCCAGCACGCGGGATTTTCTGAAAATTTGGGGATATCATCACTAAGATATTTCCCAGTTTTAGCTGGGGCATATTCAGTAACGTAACGTGTTAAGTCCAATCGCTTGCGAGCGAAAATATTTTATTGATTATCATTCACAATATTTTTATTCTGGGAGATTTGTTTAACAGGTGTTTTGTTGTTTTACTAGTTCTCCGGATCATAAGCGTCCGACACACAGTTCAAAGTTTGGGTTTCACTGAAAGAAGAGCGTGGGCTAATTTATAGTCTATCATTAGACATCTTGGTGTGAAGGTTGTTTACACATCTTACTCAAGTACTGCAAGACGTGCTCACGTAAACACATCCGGCAATACTACACACTGAAATGTGGAGCGTGAAGATGTTAATGTCAGAGCAAAAACAACTTGTCCATAAACACTACTCAAGGGATATGGATAAACCTTAGATCTACTCACGTGTACCTTCCGAGCACTTCATGCACAGATAATTACTAAGACCCTATTAAGGGAACTTCAATTCTTCCTGGTGGAGTTTGCAAAGTGATTTCAAATCGTCAAAAATTGCCAATCCGGTTCTGGCTCCACCTTAGTGGCCATGATAACTACAGAACAAAACTCAACTGTATTTGCAAGAGGCGCAATGTTCGTAGCGTAGCGAGTTTACACTAAAAACGTTTGTCCCTGTCGCAGTCTCCTGAGAAAGAGCATAGGAATAGCTACAGTTTCAGCTAAAAAAAAAAGCACACTGGTGAACCAGCCTTAAGAATCAGTACAATGTTGATTGCCTCTCTTATGTAATTCTTGCTGGGAGTCCCAAACGATCGCTCCTACTACTCGCTCCCTGACAATCGCACGTGCCCTGTAGCGTCCTTACGCATTCTGTCTAGCTTGTACCAACGTGACACTTGAAGGCCATTACCAACTCATGACTCTAACTCATTTGTTGTCCTTTGATCTGAGTGCATGTCACGCAGTAAATTTGTCACTTCTGTGTATTTATGTCACCTGACGGCTCTCTCCCTGCTCAGTTACAAGTACGTCAGTTTGATGATCACTCAAGTTTATAAGTGAATACAGCGTTTAGTGAGTTGGGTCCTCGACCTTGACTGGATAAGACTGTGTATAACAGAAAAATTTACACCGTGCTATTAACTGGGCCTATCATTAGCAAAAGGCGCACTGGGCGTAGCAAAGCGAATTTCCACTAAGAACTGTCGCAGTCTACTGAGAAACTGCACAGGAACTAACTGACGCTAAAAAGCTGGAAAGGTATACTGGCCAACCAGCCTTACGATTAGAACGACGTCGATTGCCTCTCCACTAATTAACTCCTATTACAGTGTACTCGCTTCCCGATAACTCGCACGTGCCCACTAGCATCTAACGCAACCTGTCTCTCGCTTCAACGTGACACCAGGGACCTCGGATCACGACGCCCACGTGTACTCATTTTTTTATCCTTTGATCTGCTGAGTACACGACAAAAAGTAAATTTATCACTTATGTGGTATTTCGGTCACCTGATTTGAGCCCTATCCCTCAGTCCCTGGGTCAGTCACGGGTATGTTTAGTTTAAACTCTTTTTTTATAAAAATACTGCTTTTTCGGCCAAGGCTGAATATTCTTATTTTTCTACCAATTTTAGGCTGAAAATGTTCTTGTAGATATTCTTAAATTATAGCGTATGATATTTCCGTTTTAAAATGTATTGGAATATCAATTACAAGTGTTTGGTGTCTGAATGGCGTTTTGGAACGCGGGGCATTTGCTCACGTTGTCAGTCCCGGGGGTGGGGCATCCGCAATTTTATCGCGGCCCGGGGGCTGGGCATTTGCGTACCCCGGGGCGACCCCC